ATCTATCTATCTATCTATCTATCTATCTATCTATCTATCTATCTATCTATCTATCTATCTATCTATCTATCATATGTAGGTGGCCTTTTGAGGGCGTTTCTCTCTCCCTCTCTCTTCATGTATTTCATTTCTCTCCTTGTGTTTGCAGCTCATAAGGGATTTATCTCTGCATGTATATGTTTGTGTATATGTTGTATGTAAGCCACTATTAATTGTATGAAGGCTCTATGTGCTGTATTTTGCTCCTGGATTTATCTCATAACATTAGTCACGCTGCCAAAACTCTGACAAGATTGAACGACCTCCTGCTCAACAGAGGGGGAGGGATACGACACCACCTATCTCCTGTCTACAACACAATCCTTTTGGCAGTTCCAAGAAGGTCCCATACCCATTTGCACCACTTAGATGATCCTGAAGGCTCAGATAAACCTCCAAGTGGCCTCAACGACTCTCAGAAAGAGCGCAAATGACCAGAGGATTGCAAGGAGCATAAATCCTTCCATCCTTCTCCATTCAGTCAGAAGTGAAGAAGCTTCTTGGATGAGAAGCAAAACGTCTTCAAGGGGGGAAAAAAGTCCAGTTGTCTTGAAAAGCTGAAAGAGGCTGCAGTTTCAGTTAGCAGTATTTGGGTTATTGTACTCACTCTGTGGCTCCAGTTTGGTGAGGATGGGCTGGGCACCGCTGACCGCCACCGAAGCAATGGTCTTCACTCCCTTCTCTGCCATGTCACAGACGGACTTCATGTAGGGGTGGCTCTCTTTTGTAGAGGTGTATGCAGCCGAGACCATGTCGTAGGCGGAACTGACCAGCGGCAGGCTGGCTACCCTATCAGCTACATTCTGGCAAACAGAAAACAGCAGCAACCATGAGGACTAGCAACACAGTGGCTCCTCCTTCCCCCTGCCTCTCCTTTTTTTTTAATGAGCTGCGGTGGCGCAGTGGCTAGAATGCAGGATTGCAGGCTGACTGTGCACACCGCCAGGAGTTCGATCCTCACACGCTCAAGGTGGACTCAGCCTTCCATCCTTCTGAGGTTGGTAAAATGAGGACCCAAGATTATTGGGGGGCAATAGGTGGACTCTGGAAATCGCTTAGAGAGGACTGGAAAGCACTGTGATTCTGCAGGATATAAGTCTAAGCCAGGGGCCAATAACCTTAAACACTCAAAGAGCCACAAATGTAGGGTTTTTACAGGGAATCATCTGGATGGTCCTTAGAAATGAGATTACACATGTAAGAGCAAACTGCAGCAATCTGCAGAAAATATTTGCTTGTCAGCTATTCTTTGCTTGCAGCGTGTTCCCAGGCATGAAGGACACGGGATGATGAAACAAAGTATAACTTGCAACATTTTATTCATTTGAATGATAACACTTGATTCATTCAGCTGCAACAACATGCACATTCTCACGAACACCAATGATGTAAGGCCTAACCAATTGTTGTGCCTTGGAGACTTGTTAGCCAATAATGATATAACACGCAAAGTAGGTAGAACTAAAGAAGCTGCAAACACTATAAGAATGATGTTTCATGATTAATAATTTTGCTGTTGATTCTGCTATCTATGGAATGCTTTGTTCAATAAACTTTTGTTGGTTTAGCTATCCGTGGGTGGATTACATTCTTTCATCTTCAGCCTCGGGATCCTAATCACTACAGACATAGACATAGAAATTAGAATAGAATTCAAATAG